GTAAGTTACACGTCAAAATGGCCGATCTGACATCGGTGCTCACTTCGGTTATGTTTTCTCCCTCTAGTAAAATGTTTATCGGTGGACTGAGCTGGCAGACCTCACCAGGTAAGGGAGGGAGGGGGGGAACGCCTGGGTCCCCCCCTTCTTGGTTTCTTTATTGCTCTTTGTTATCCCAGTGTAGGGGGGGCGGCCGCCCCCCGCCATTGGCTCCCCACTTCTCCTGTGCAAGGTTATTTTTTTAAATAGCAAATCCTTTCCGAGCCCTCTACGCGACCTCTGTTGCCGAATTTCCCCCGCGTGTGCAAAAATATTGCAAAAACAAAACAGAATAACAACAGAAAACTACTTTTGCTTTTTGTCCTTGATCAAAATTTGCATTGCTTTTTTTTCCCACTCCACACCTCCCACCCCCCATCTCTCTCTTTCTCTTTCTACAGATAGCCTTAGAGACTATTTTAGCAAATTTGGAGAAATTAGAGAATGTATGGTCATGAGAGATCCCACTACGAAACGCTCCAGGTAACGCATTTCCTTCTGGATTTTGCCTTTATTTTAGAACAAAGTTTTAGTTTTATTTTTGGAGGTGTCTTCGGAAGTAGCTAAGCGGATTTAGAATTGGGCTCAGGCGCGTGGCTGGGCTGAAACGTTACCCCCCCACCCCATAACCCTAAAGGTTATTGTTAATTAGAACCGAACTCTGGATTCAGAGACGCCCATCTCTCCCGCTTGAAGTCATTTTCCTGTCGCTTCTTGTTCTCTTGTTTAAAATGACATTCAGCTTCGCTCACTTTCCACAGTTTTTTTTTTTTAATTTAAATTTTTGCGTGTATGCCTTCTTCCCACTCCCAAACTCAGAAGTCCTCTCATTAGGAGGTGGATGAATATCTTACTGCCCGATTTCCTTTGGCATAAAACAAAGCCTTAAGAAAGGGAAGGGGAGGAAAGGAAACTGAGGCGGCCGGACTGGAGGCTCCAGCGTGTTCCAAGTTACCTCTAGTCGCCCTGCCCCCCCTCCCGCTTCCCCCACTAACCTTGGTATTTTTCCCTCGCAAGGCAGAGGGCTGTGGGCTAGAGGAGAACAGAGGGAGCTGGTGGGGATGGGGGTGTATGGGGGCAACTTTCGCACCCCAGTCTGCATATGGGGTCTCCTTGTTGCTTTCAGTGGTGTCACATTTTGTTTGTTTTTTTCCCCCCTCTTTGTCTCCTTCCAGAGGCTTCGGTTTCGTCACCTTCGCAGACCCAGCAAGTGTAGATAAAGTATTAGGTCAACCCCACCATGAGTTAGATTCCAAGACGGTAGGTTGCTTTGTTGTTGTTGTTGTTGTTTGCCCCTTTTCGGTGCCGGTCTGGGCATTGACAGCCCTGTTTAAAGGGACAGCGCCTTCTTTTGCTTCTATGCTAGAACTGGGTACTTTTAAACAGCTAGCGAGTTAGCTCAGAAGTTTGCATCGGTGGTTGATTTTGGGGGGGTTTCTTTTGAAGGCTGTCTCGCTACAGCTTCAGACGCTGCCAGGCTGAGGCTGGGGGGAGGGGGTGTCCGTTCCCTGAGAGGGTAGCCTCCCGCCAAGGGACCTTGCAAAGAAACTCCACCAGAGAGCAAATGGAACTTTCTTTGTCAGCAGAGCACACAGCCTGTGGCATTGGGTTCTGCTTGTGGAAGGAAGGCACAGCCTGCTTCTTGGTGGAGGGGGCAGGGATGGGGATGAGGGAAGGGGTGCTCGTCTTAGGTCCAGGCAACAGGTTTCTCTGGGGCTCCAAGTGATTTGAGATGTGGTTTGAGAAGGGAAGGGAGAAAATGACAGAGCCAATTCTGGCATCCAGTGGGGTTACTTCAGATGGTGTTGAATTAAAGGCTGATAAGGCCTGGGTTTCCAAGTGATTGCCTCCTGCCCCCCCCCCCCACGGCCCCCTTCACATCCTTTCATTTTAAAAACATTAGAAGTCTTTAAAATCCAGAGTTTAGAGGTGAAAGTTCCTATGTGGAGGTCAGAGACTAAGGGGAAAAATATCAGTCTGGAATAATAAATGAATGATGGAGGAGGCTGGGGAGTTCTCCGTGGTTTGCTTGGCCCCCGTGCTGGCTTCCTGCCACCCCTCCCTTCCCTGTATGCTTACCAGAATTTCATCAGGATTTTTTTTACCACTTCTTAAGGCAGAGGCCTCAAGGTGATATTTGGGTTGTAGCTTTGGGCTGCCCAGAATGCTCCCTGTTCTATTGTGAGCTCATGGGAGGTGAGTTAGCTGCGTTCTGTAAAACTAGACCCTTACTCTCCTCTTCTGTAAAGTCAGCAGAATTCCAGGATCTTCCAAGCTCTCTGGTCTTTTAACACTGAGCGGAGGAGAAGAAGCACATGGGTCAACGGGTCAACCTTTGGTGCACTCCAATTGATTTTGCAAACACCCCCCTCTTTTTATGATCAGAGAGGTCAGGTGTTGCCCTTACTCCCCAAGAAAAGGTCTTGCACACTGAAGTCACTTTATTAATTGTCCTAGACTTGTCAGAGCGTGCAAGCCCAGCCTGTTTGTACTGTCAGATCATTTAATATCAAGAATGATCACTGGTAAGGTGATAAGGAACGTCTGAACAATTTATTTTTTCCTCCTTGACTTCTTGGCTAGCCACATCACGAAGCTAGGAAGATTTCACAGGAAAAATTCAGAGCGGATTTCTTGTGCACTCCTTTTGCCTGGGTGGGAGAACTGGAGTTTGGTTTTAGTGGGTGCTGGCTAGTGAGATTCCCCAGTATCCCTCGGTATCCCTTGCTGGGCCTTGGGCTTTTCCACCCTAACTTGTTTTGTAGACATATTTTGGTTGCTGTTACTTAGTATAACCTAGCTTTTGACTTTGTTTCAACGTTCAGTGCAGGAGGCAGACGCGGTTGGTTTATTGACATGGAAACGAGGATCTTGTTTACTGTTACCTTAAACGCTTTGTTTAGGTAAAGGCCATTCGCGTCCGAAATAGTGCCCTAGTGTTTTCTAGAGGACCCTAGAGCCAGTACTAGCGCTGTACCTAAGTGACTAATGTTTTAATTTTAGGTAGTTTTCTTTCTTTCTTTCTTTCTTTTTTTTTTTTTATTAAATAGTTGACTGGGATGTGCAAAAGGTTGGGATTTGCCTTCTTGCCTTGACGCCTCCTAGGCCTTGGAGATCTCAGTGTGGAAAACTTTGCACATGGGAGAACGCCGTTCTCAGTGTGACATGCTGATGTCACCACCACACACATTCAGTGCAGTCCCCAATTGGCTTTTGGTTTTGTAATTTTACATTTTTTTTTTTAAATCTTAGCACTTCTTTTTCTTCTTTGTACGTTCCTCACCCGGGCTCCCTGACCTTTCCTGGATGCTACATCATCTTTTCCCACACAAACAAGGTGGCTCTCACTGCACCTGTGTGTTGGTCCGATCTACCAAGCCTCAGAGTGAACAAAGACGAGCATCCGTCTCAGTTTTGGCGCCAGAATGGAAATCCACACCTGTTGTATTTCTTTTGTAGAGAAACTCTAGTCCGTACTGGGCACACCTGTAGACGCAGTCATATTAATCTTTACGAAAGGGTAGTTTCCTAGACCTGAGATTTTGATCTGTTTTAGCTTTTGAAAAGTAATCTCTCATTTCTCAGGTGGTGCTTAAAAGTGAAAAGCGCAAGGTAGATTTTTAGGTTTTTAAACTACCTTAGTAAAAGTGATTTTTGTCTTTGTATGTCTTATAGTCTGGGGCTCCAAGTGACCCCAGGGATTATCTGGGGTGGGGGAGAGATTGTGTGTGAGTCTCTCTACCCCTGCAGTTTTTCCCAAAGTGTGGTGATTATTTTCTTAAGTGACAGAACCGACATGAGGTTCAGATTTACTTTTTAAAGGGGGAAATTTATAACACGAAAGCCAGAGCTCATAAATAAATAACTTGTAGTAATACCCATGCCATTTTCCATGTTGAACTATATTCAAAAAATCTGTCACGGTTAGAAATCTAATGGGAACCAGTGATGGGATTTTTCTTTTTCTTTCTTTTTTCTTTTTTAGATTCTTTGCTGTTTTTATCTAGGCAGTAACTTTTTTTCTCCTCACATCAGCTGTTAGACTTAAATGCTTCTGTGGGAATTGTGAAGCTCATCACTGATTGAGAATCATGTGCTCTGCAAGCCGGCTGCTCATGTGGAGTGGGGAGCTTTTCCCACTGGGGTGGAGGTGAACTGGGGGCATACCTGAATTATTGCATTAGATTCCCACTTCTGTCCAATCGTTTTGTTATTAACCCTCCCTGCAATGACCTTTCTAGTTTGGACTTTGGGTTATTCATCTAGTTTCATGCCTGTGGTTTTTGTTTTTTGTTTTTTTTTTTTTAAACCCATGTGGATTTAATTTATACATAAACCTTGCTTTTCCTCTTTTATTACAGTTTTTTTAAAGAAATAAGTAATTGATATCTGCTTTCTTTAAGATATACCAACAAGGCAAATACAAATGTTGTTTTTAAGAGTTCACCAGAATTCACTAGAACCCAGCTATGGTGTATCAGGGGGGCTTCCCCCAGCTATGGCGTATCAGGGGGCTTCCACCCTCATTGATTCTCTTCCCTCAGCTTCTCAAGTGTAGAGCTTTCAGATGTGAGCCACCATACCTGGCTGCAAAGATCTTTTCGATCACCCTGAGTAACTTCATTTTGCAAACGTAGTGAGTTAATCTTAGCTGAACACTGTGTTGAATATTGTTGATTTTCAATTTTTTTTAAATCCCCTTTCCCCTGCTTTGCCAGGGAGAAGAACTATTCACCCATTTACTAATAGCTGGAGGAGCATTCATTTTGAGGGCTTTTTCTTTCTTTTTTCCCTTCAGATAACATTGTATCCATCTTCCCCTCCCTGGCCACACATTGTACGTTAGCTCTGGGTACCAGTTCATATTCAGGGTCTGTGGAAAAGAAGTCCCTTGTCTCAATAAGAGTGCATGAGTTCTGGCTTATTAAGCACTTCCCTCACTAAACTGCATGGTGGAACATTCCAGAAAGGTGAACCTCATGAGTCCCATGGGGAGAAGGATGGTGAAAGTTGGGATCCAAGCTGAAGGAGCTTTTGAATTGCCCAAGAAGTTACTAAAAGTTGAGGTCTAAGCCTGAGAAATGAGTGATTAATAATTAGGTGGTTGGTTATTCGTTTTTGTCTGCTGCTTCAAACTACTTCACTGACTTCCTCCTTTTTTTATTATTTTCTCCAGATTGACCCCAAAGTTGCATTTCCTCGTCGTGCGCAGCCCAAGGTAAGTAGGAGAGCCATGGATGGGATTTTAGTGAGACTTTGAAGCTTCAAACCGAGCATTGGCTGCTGTTGGAGGCTGGCGTTTGTGCTTTCAGGGTGTCAGCAGAGGGAGGTGAAAAGCCCAGGTGAGCGGTTCTGTGAGGTGACCCTGCACCTCCATGTCAGCATGCCACTGTCGGTTCCAAGCATCCAGCTGGGGAGAGGGACAGATATGATCCTTGCTCCTTCTCAGGAGGGCGTGACACCGCCTGCCGCAATATTTATTCGAGCGTTCTATTTATTCTAAAGCAAGGCTGAGATCCTATCAGGAAAACCTGAACATTTCCTGATGCCTCTCTGTGGAGGGCCTTCTACTGAGGCCTTTCAATCTGGAGCATTTGGAGAAGAGCAGAATTTTAAGTTAACAGTTTGTCCTGTCTTGGGGGAAAAAAAATCTTTCATAGACTGCCTAAAGTTGTATGTAGATCTTGGGGAGGGAGCTAGGGATGTCCCCAGTTTCAGGTCATTTGGAGCAGTCAGAGCCACTGGAAACTTAACACAGCTCAGCTTCTGAGTTCCAGAGAGTTGGGGCCTGGACTGAGGAGGTTGAAACAACGTGGCCCCACAGAAGTGATACTGCGCTTGCACCTCTGTGAAGTGCAGAGTTAACAATGTTTCCCCTGTGCCTGCCAGAGCTGAAGGAGGCAGGCTTACAGGCTTCTGACCCTCGCTGGTGTTCCCCTCACACCTTTTACGTCCGTCTTTTCTGTCCCTCCTACTTGAGTAAATCCTGTGTCCTTGACGTTCTTGGGCGGGAGAAAGGTATGAGGTTTCTAACTCTAGGCGCACAATGAGAAAGGGCAATGGCTCTTGGAAAATTGAGTTTATTCTTTCACGCGGAGGCTCTCAGACTGGAGAGCCTCTGATCATATAGAGGAGAAAATGGTTTTGCACGTTGGTAAAGAAAAAAGGATGGTAGTTTGAGGATTTCAGGTCTGGAACCTGCCACTTGAATGAGTGCGTGACTCTTTTTTAAAAAGATGGAATCCACATTCCTTCAGTCAGCAGTGGGCATACTTGAAGGTGGCTTTCCCCCCAACTCTTAAACAGATTGTAGGAATTAATGAAGAACTTAGATTCCTTGATGTGGTGTCAACTTTGGGGTTGGCTTTAGCTGTGGGTTACTTTCCATGAAGTGAGCAAGCTCTCTCCCATCTCGGAGTCAGCAGTGTTGCCTGGGTTTGGAAGGATTGCTATTCGTTCCCTAGTGTGAATCTTCAATTCCGGGTTAGTCATTGGATCACTCATGACTTGGATCAGATTTCCCTTTAGGGAAGCTGGAAGCAGCCTTGACTTGGGGAAACATGGCTCCCCACCCGCTCTCTTGCCTTTCACTTCCTGCCCTTCACTGGTGGACCTTCTCCAGCAGGAAGGCCGTGTTTCACGTTAATATGCAGTGGTATTGGTACCCTGTCTTCTAAAGAACCGAATGACACATCACTTTGTGAAGGCCTTTCCTATCTTTTAACCACATCTGAATCCCAGCCCTGGCTCAGTTTCCTCATCTCTAAACCTGGAGTGATATCCGCGCCTTCACCAAGATTCCTGTGAAAAATGAAAGCGTGGCCTGGCGAGGGCCTCGCCGCGCATCACCGTCACCGTTATTACTGGTTTAATCATCATTAGGATGGAGGGTGTGCGCAAGCTGGACCACCTGGCTTCAGATGCCAGCTGTGCCCGTCATTAGCTGCTGTGAACTTGGCCAAATCACTTAGCTTCCTTGAGCTTGTCTCCTCTTCTCAGAGTTTCCTGTAGTGAGATAAACAAGCTCCTAGAAGGGTCTAAGACATGGCCATGCCAAAGTCGGATCCACTGTTATTCCTGGTGATTTTTGAGTGAACTTGCAGTCTTCCTGCCTCTGAGCTGCTGTTTATGTGAGGGCCCCACTCTAGTTCTCTGAGAGGTCTAGTAATGATATTAATTGAATGTGTGTGCCAGGCACTTAGTGAGGGGATCATGTGTTACCTCTGTTGGATGGGTGAGGCAGCTCAAACTTTGAGGGGTTGAATACTGATATTTTAAAAAAAAGATACACCTACACAATCTGCCTCTGTAGTTGGACTGCTGGCCAGTGTGTATGGTCCTGTTGGGGTACCACTGGGCATTGCCTCCCTGTCAGAAGTGAGGTTACAGGGCTCTCTGGGTTCAGCAGACCATGGAGAGCAGAACCAAAGTCATTCTCAGTGAAATTCCAGGTTCTTGGGTTCTGGTCATTCTCCTCCCCTTGTGACATCATCCAATTTTGCCACACCATCCCATGTTCTCTAACTGACCCCTTGGGGTGTCCTTTCAGGTGGTTTTGGGGTTGTTCAGCCCAGAGGGGCAGGAGTTGTTGCGGTGTAGATATGTGTCTCTCTTGGGACCTGGAATAGGTAGGGAAGGGACTTGCCCTGTTCGGTTATTTTCCCACAGAACTGAGCCTGGCCGTCAGGGTTCCAGACCAAGGTGACTGTTGGGATTGGCAACCCGGCTGGCTAGAGTCTAGAACTTTGAATGAAGCCTTATTTGTGTTTGTTTTGTCTTCCTTTCATAGAACTTCCGTGTGTCTCTGTGGGGGTCCTGGTGACAGGGCGGACTGTACCCTTCTGTCTGGACTGGGTGCTGGGCTCGTTAATGATGTGTCAGCTTGTGTTTCAGTTCAGACTCCTCTCTCTGCTTTCTGGCCGCCCCTCCCTGCTAACAGTTGCCAGAGAAATATTCCGTGGAGGTGTTAAACAGGATGGGTGGAAAGAAGCTGTAACTTGAGACCAGAGAAAATCTGTGGCAGTGAAGAACGGATTTCATACGAGTGCTGTCATAATATTCTTTAATGTCTCGTATAAATAAAAATCTGTTTTGTCCAGAATTTTAACGAGCAACGAAGGCAGCCGGTGGAGTCCTGCAGCTCATCATCTTTGTACTGCGCATGCTCACAGGGCTTTATTAGCCAGTCGAGGGACCACTCTTTGGAGGCCAGTGGCTGTTCATTAGGGAAGTACATCTTCATCAGGAAGAAATGGGATCATTCTGTGTCTTCTTATTTCACTGAGGCATTTCATTTTGTAAAATACATATAGGGATTCTCCCTCACCTCCATCTTTTTAAAAATTAAAATGGTCGTGTGACTCTAAAAAGATGACTTCATTCGAAGCTGCAGCAGACTAGAGAGAGGCTGACAGAGATCAGTCATGCTATTTCCTTTTTTTTTTTTTCCTGTCTCCTTTGGGTCCAAGTGTCAGCTGCCTGGGTGAATTTTGTTCCAGCCTGTGGCTTCCTTTTCTTTTTTGGAGGAATGAACTAGACTCTAGCAGCTCTGCAGCTACCAGCAAGAGCGGAGCCTGGGTGTGACTCACCATCTGCCCTAATTGTCCTTGGGTATAAGAACACTGCTTTCCTGTTGGGAAGCGGTGGCACACGACTTTAATCCCAGCACTCAGGAGGCAGAAACAGGCAGATCTCTGTTAGTTTGAGGCCAGCCTGGTCTACAGAGTGAGTTCCAGAACAGCCAGGGTTGCACGGTGAAACCCTGTTTTTGAAAACCAAAAGGCAAACAAACAACAAACAAATCAAAACAAAAACCCAAAAACATAATCTCCATTTTTTTCCTGTCACTGCGTTCCAAAAGTTTTATTTGTTGTATTCAAATTAACTTTTTTGTTTGTTTGTTTTTTGTTTTTCGAGACAGGGTTTCACTGTAGCTTTGGAGTTTGTCCCGGAACTCACTCTATAGACCAGGCTGGCCTTGAACTCAAAGAGATCCCCTGCCTCTGCCTATTGAGTGCTGGGATTAAAGCCGTACTCCGCCACCGCCCGACGAACTTTATTTTTTTAATGGACACATAAAAACATGTTGCATATGGGGCTGGAGAGATGGCTCAGTGGGGAGAACCTTTGCTACTCATGTGAGGTCCTGAGTTCTGGTCCCAGCACCCATGTCAGGTAGCTTCTGACCCCCGTGACTTCAGCCCCAGGGAGTCACACTCTTCTGATCTCTGCAGGTGCTTGCACACACATCTCACTCACACACACACACACACACACACACACACACACACACACACACCCATTAAAAAAAAGAAACCTAAAAAGAAGATCTACCAGCAGGGGAGCATATGTTTTTTTGATTCATGTGTGTGTTCATTGTGTCCTGAAACTCGAGAGGTAGGGATCGTAGCCACTGGTGTAGAGACGTCTAGAGATGTCATTTGTTCAGCCGATCTCCAGTTGCCTTCCGTGACAGCTGGGTGACTGTGAACATACCACTGAAATCCCATCAAGCCTCAATTTCCTTCTCTTAAAAAAATGTTGTGCTCCTCACTACGTTATTTTGGAAATGAATACACATTGTTCATGGGAGCTGCGTATGGTCAAGTGGCACCAAGCACACGTCTCCTGATACCATTATAGGATTATTATTCTTTCACTTTTTTAAGAGGTCTCATGTATCCCCAGAATCATTTTGTAGCCGGTGGTGATCTTGAACAGTTAATCTTCCTGCCTCCATCTCCCGAGTTCGGAGATTACAGGTCACCACACCCAGTTTTACGGAGTACTAGAGAGTCAACCTAGGGTTTCATGCCTGCTAGGCAGCCCCTCTACCAACTGAACTATATTCCTACCCTTCGAATTACCTTCATAGAGTCAAAAAAAATGGCATGGTAAAATGACTCCAGAAAAAAAAAAAAAACTTCACTCGGATTATAAACTCCCTGGCTGCTTGGATCTTTGGAGCTTAGTGTTTAGTAACTAAACGAGTTGAATTCTAGGCAGCTTTTTCTCACTAGAGGCAGTTGCAACCCAGTCATTTTCTGTTGGGTGCTTCCAAGTCACCACAGCAGTTAAGTTGTGGAGGGTTGAGCTAGGAGCCAGATTTTCTTGTTCCCATATTGTCCCTTGACGTTGCTTTAGGATCCTAAAAGGTTCTCTGTGAAGCTTGCATCCAGATGGGTGCAGTGGTGGTGTGTGCACACTCTCTGTTCTGGG